CTTCTGGCCAGACGGGGCCAGCAGACTCTCCACGGCGGGTGGGGCTACGTTTCAGCCCCAGTGCCTGGGCAAGAGGGGTGGGGGTCGCTCTGGACTCTTCTCAATTTCCCAAACAGGCTCTCTGGTTGGCAGGGGTCAGGAGCTACCCTCAGCCTTGGCTCTGAATGAATCTCCTGCCTCTGCACAGCACGGGGAGCCTCCGTGCCTGCTGCTGGCTCTGCTCTGTGTGATCAGCTCTACCTGTTGCTTGTGATCAGCTCTACCTGTTTGCCTCCGAGCTTGGGCACTGCCAGGCCACACAGCTTCGGGGAATCGTGGCCAGCCCTTCTTGTCCGATGGCGTCGGAAGGCCCTCCCACAGCAGGTGGGGCCCTGACTCAGCTCCTTGCCCGGGCATGAGCAAACCGGGCTCTAGGGTCAGCAAAACTCCTGGTTTAGGGATGTGAATCGGGCAGGTCTGCCCCCTACAGAGTCCCCTGGCCAGAGTGTGCCCCCAACTTGGTTCCGCTGCTGTCTGGGATTACTACTTGGGCAACTGCAGGTACGAACTCTCTGTCAAAATCTGTGTGCTGGTTGTCGCCGCCCTTCCCTTCATCCCCCACAGTCAGATTCCCAGGGGGTAAGCTCTGCGGATTCCCCTGAAATCCTCACGGTGTCAGACCAGAGTAGAGGCTCCCCAAAGTGACCCACAATGCTGAGGGAGGTTGGCTCTCCCCCTGGATTCTCTTTTCCCACTGGAGGAACCAGAGGCTCAAGGGAGACCTCTACTTGTGGTTCTGCCCTGGCCTGGGGGAGGGGCAATGCGGTCAACGTGTAGTCACTTCTCTTACCCTCCTAATGCAGTCTGTCTTGGTCTCTGTGGCAGGGGGTGCTTCAGTCTCAGCCCTGTGTTCTGGGATTCTCTCAGTGTGTCTTATTCTTGAATAGATGTTAGCTGCTCCTATGAGGGGGAGCGGAATCAGGAACGACCTAAGTCACCGTCTTGGCGACATCACTCCAACCATGTGTTCTCTTTCAGTAATGATAAAAAATAACAAAATGATGATAATGTTTTAAATAAAATTTTAAATGTAAGGCCAAAAACCAAAGCCAATTAAATACAAACTTGATATCTGCATTTCCCAAATCTGTAAACCAATTTCTTCTTGAACAGAGTGGACAGGAATGGAAAAAATTGGGGCTTTGGGGCCATACTGACTTGGGCTTGAATTCCAGGTTTAGCACCTACTAGTAAGTGATCTTGGGCTTAATTTACCAAACTTTTCCAAGCCTCAATTTCATCAGTCAGAAAACTGATAAAACTTGGCTTAAGCATTGTTATGACAATTTAAAAAGATAACATACATTAAAATGCACGAATGACATAATATATAGTAAAACAAGAAATGATATAAGACATATTAAAATATATGCCAGGCACATATTAAGTACTCAACAAATAATGTTGGTTGTTATATAATCATTAACCCTCATGCTGCTCTCTTCTGGGTAGATAGTTGGCAATTCAACAATGACATCAAACTTAATAGCATTGTATTGCTAGGCTACTACAATAGAGAATTAATAATTGGATCCCTTTTGTGCTTCCTGGAGCAGTGATTCTCAAACCTTAATATGCATATGAATCACCTAGGGCTCTAGTTATAAGTGCACATTCTGATTAAGTGGGTCTGGGATGGGGTCCAAGGCTCTGCATTTCTAACGAGCTCTCAGGGGACGCTGATGCTGCATTCTAGGGGACACACTCTGATGGTAAGGCCCTGATGATAGAATGGGCTGGCAAAGGTATTCACAGATAGGACGTGTGCATATCATAAATCTGTAAGGCTGAACTGTTTCTTATTTAAACATGATAACAATGAATAGATGTGTATTGCTTGTTCACGTTCTGAAATTTTGTTAGATAATAAACGAGCAAAAGGTCAGTGTGGTCCACCAGCTCTTGTCACTCTAGACTCTCCAGGGATCTGCCCTTGGGTTGGCGGATACAGTCACCATGTGAACAGTCTGGCATTGTTTATGCCCAACCCACCCCTTACTCCCTCTGGGTTCCTGCTTGATCACACGTGAGAGTTCACATGCCAGGCGTGGGAAACCTCTTATGCCAATTTATTCTGGACCTCGGCTGCCTCTGATCATTGCACATTAGAGGGATTTTACAAGTGTTACCACAGTAAGTGTGACTCAGCTGGAACATCTGGGTTGACATTTTAAATATTTCCTATTTACAGCCTCTTTAGAAAGGGATTTAGCAGTATCCAAAAAGTATGTATGCATTTACCTTTGAACCAGCAGTCCCACTTTTTAGGACGCTACTCTGAGGATCCTTTTCTGTAGCCGGCAGAACAATGGTGCCCCAAAGACCTCCATGTCCTCATCCCCATAAGCTGTGACTATGTTCTCCTACGTGGCAAAAAGGACTTCACAGATGTGACTAAATAAAGAACCTTGAGATAGGGGCTTTATCCCGGATTAATTGCAGAAGAGAGGGACAGCAGAGGAGAGCAGAATAATGCAATGTTCTCCACCCACCCCTGCAGTTTTGGAGATGGAGCAGGGGAAATGTGAACCAAGGAATGTGGGTGGTCTCTAGAAGGTAGAAAAAGCAAGGAAAGGGATTCTCCCCCTAGAGCTTCCAGGAAAAGAACCAAGCATGGCCTACAACTTAGTTTTAGCCCAGTAAGATGTGGGTTAGACCTCTGACCTCCAGAACTGTAAGAGAATACACTTGTGCTGTCTTAAGCCGCTAAGTTTATGGCCATCTGTTTACAGTAGTGATAGAAAACAAATACACCTTTCACATAAAACAGCATATGTATAAGGCCATCACTGTGGTTTTATACGTAAGAGCTAAAGACTGAAAACAGCCCAAGTGTCCATCAGTAGGGGACTAGAACAAATACAGAGGCATACTCTGCACCCGTAGGAAAGAATGGAGAAACTCTAGACCTAACATGAGCTGACCTTTAAGACATATTTTCAAGTAGAAAGAAAAGCCAAATACAGAACACGAGATATACTACTTTACCTTTCAAGTAGGAAAGAAAGAGAAATAAGAATATGCACATATTCTTTTTTCATAAAGAGAAACACTATAAAGATAGGCCAGAAATAAATTAATAAAAATAATTACTAATGAGGTGGAGGATGAAGTTGCTAGGGAAGGAAGTAGGGTTTCTCTGAGAATACTTTTTTTTTTTAATATATAATTTTGACTTTGGGACCATGTAAATGCATTACCTATTCAAAAAATAAAATAAAATTTAAAATTTAAAATAAAATTAAAATGTCCATACTTAAGTTTAATAGTTTTCTACCCATGACTTATTCCAAAAACCTTCTCTAGACTTTTACTCTGCACCTAATGGAACTCTATCCCAGTAAAAAATTAATACCTAAGATCAACAAACTGTTTTCTGACAGGTCTGTCAAAATCGTAGCTTGATGTGGGTTAAGACTGCCCATTTCTGCTGATTTTGCTATTTCTTAAATCATATTCTGACATTATGGACCTGACTGACAGGCTGTAGGACATGGAACATGATTTACAAAGCAAATAATTATATAACAACCAATTCCATAGAGTTGGCAACAGAGCCACCTGGTGGCAGAAACTAAGACTGTAACTTTAAAATTGCAGTATTTTCTCTTTGAACTGCTGTGCTCTTTTATACTGAAATTATATTATTGGGGAAGGCGAGTGGGGAGAAGTAAACAGAAACGGTTGGTAGTAAGACCTTATGGGCTCCTGTGTAAAACTGAGTTTACTCTGAAAACAAGGTTTATCGATGGATTACATTTTTAAAATGCATTCAACTTGCACAAAATCCTTATTGAACCTTCATGCAACAAGAAGCGATTTTGACAAAATTAATGTTAGTGTTAATTAAAGACATGCCGAATCTAATTTCATAATTTTTATAACCCATATTTTAAAAAGTTCAGTCAGTTTCAGTTTAAAAAGAAAACAAAGAGCCAGGATGATTTATAAAACTATTTCTGATTTCCTGACTTTTTTTTTAAATTTTTTTATTTATTTTTGAGAGAGAGAGAATGACAGAGAGAGAGAAAGAGAAGGGTGAGGGTCAGAGGGAGAAGCAGACTCCCTGCCGAGCAGGGAGCCCGATGCAGGACTCGATCCCGGGACTCCAGGATCATGACCTGAGCCGAAGGCAGTCGCTTAACCAACTGAGCCACCCAGGTGCCCTGATTTCCTGACTTTTAAAAGTGAGATGATGCTGGCACATCCTAGGAGGGTCTATTATATTTTATGGGCGGGGGGAGGGGCTTTGGTTTTAAAATCTTAAAATAATTGTCATAAAAATACTATTTGGATAATTGCTCTAATAGCTTTAATACCCAGGGAGCTATGGGACAAATCAACTCAATTTGAAAGAAATTTGTTGAGCATCTACTGTGTACCCTGCGCCATCCTGATTCAGGTACTAAGAGGATAATGGAGATGCCTAAGAGACAGGTAATCTTCTTTAAAATTAATCAGAGAGTTTGCACTTAGCCATCAGATTAAAAAGTGGGCTGCAGATTAAAGAGTGGGGGACCTGTGGCTGAAGGAAATGTCCTGAGGTTCCAAGGATGGTGGAGAAATAACCTAAGGCAGAGAAGCAGAAAGGAGGATACAACTAGACATGCATAAGGTGCAAGAAAACAGAAAGGATGTTAATGGAAAAGGAGGAAGACGAGCTGCGGAAATTCATGCGCAACTTTTTTTTTTTACAAAGGTAACTTCCTGTGTATTTATTTATTTATTTATTTATAAAGATTTTATTCATTTATTTGACAGAGAGAGAGAGCGAGCGAGAGCACAAGCAGGGGGAGCACCAGGCAGAGGGAGAGGGAGAAGCAGACTCCCCACTGAGCGGAGAGCCCGACTCGGGGCTTCATCCCGGGACCCTGGGATCATGACCTGAGCCGAAGGCAGATGCTTCACCAACTGAGCCACCCAGGCTCCCCTCCCTGCAACTTTCTCGTAAGCAAAGCAGGAACTGCGGCCGATTTACCTCACTCTTCAGCTACTACTGAGCTATAGGCGAGCTTGTTGCTCAGGAATTACCGTCTCTCCTTGCATCCGCTATGACCTTGGCTGCAGACTTGCTCATCACGTGCACGATGTAGAGAGGGCAGTTCACGGCGCTGGCGATGGTGATGGCTCTCAGCGTGGCTTCTGCCTCCACCTCTTCCGGGCGGCACAGCTCATGGCCCTCGGGCCCTGTTATCCCCAACCCCAGCATCTTCTTTGCTCCCTAAGAAGACGGCGGGAACAGACACATGTGCGAGGAAGGTCTACTAATGACAAGTACCATGATCTTCTTGTGAATTAAATACACAGCCAGGCTTTCAGACCTATTAGGGGTAGAGGGGTGTGTGTGTGTGTGTGTGTATTTGGTAAACACAGTTTTAACACATAAACATGACACTTGGTATATGTTAGCTTTTCATACACATATTTCACAATTAAATTATTTCGATGGAAAGGCTGAAAAAGATAGGAGGTAATTTGAATCACATTCTTATTGCTGGTTCAGTACAAAATAAAATAAAACCAAATATTCAAATGCCCAATATTTTTAAGTGACTCATATGACATTACGTAAGTAGCTGTGCTTTTTACTGAATCATAGTCTTCGCTGCCCTCTGTCCCACCCACCGAATGATATTGGACGAGACATTTTCCCACTGCAAAATGTTATTTCTTCCTTACAAAAAAAGCAGGAAGTCAACACTCGGAGTGGGAAAACGGCTGGCCCGGTGTCATACAGCTAGAAACGAGGAGTCCATTTAAACTCTGGTCGGCTTGAATTTACAGCTCAGGCTCACTTCTCATGATCCCTGGTTGCCTCCTGGCCACCCAGCCTCACTCTCCCTGACTTTAATGGGAGGTGAGCCTGGGGAGAGAAAAAAAAAAAAAATCAGCTAATATAAAGGGTAAGAGACAGCACTTTAAATCTTGCAGATAGTGTATCCTTCGGGCATTAATAATGGAACTCCCATGAGAAATAAATACCCCATCTAGATTCCTTCAGAGCACATTTTAATACCAGTTTCTGAAAAGAGTGGGGCTTTAAACAGCACTTAATACACTGCTTGAGTCATCAGCTCCCACTCATGTCCACACTTTAGCATTCTGAACCAGCAGGTGGAGCTACAAAAAAAAAAAAAGTGCTGGGATACACAAAGAAAAGTATTTGTTTGAGAAACATGTTTGAGATCTGATAGCTAATCTGAAAAAGGGAAATCTTTATTCCAATGCATATATCACCTGAATAAAAGTCCGAGCATGGACTTAAGTAAACCGAGTCAAGTGTTTCCAAGCCATAGGACATGAGTGTCTGAATTTCCATTCTTCCAATGCACAGAATGAGCTCACCCACTTGGGTCCAACTGTCTCTGGCTCAAGTGATGGCCGTTTCATTTGTGGCGAAGCTCTGGGATGTAAATGCTTACCTCTGCGATCAGGTCTCCGTTTTCCGCGTGGACCTGAGCAATTGCTCCAATTTCCTTGCACTGAGAGAAGGCCGCATACAGCTCCTCATCCCTCACCATGTACAGGTCTTTATAGGCCATAAACATCTTGAAAGAGTTCACACCTTTGTCTTGGGTAAGGATTTTCATTTCTTCTTTAACCTAAAAGGGGAACAACATCCACACACACACAAAATGCCATGCTTTCGTTCAAATAATAATCTCAACATTCTCTTCAACATTCGAGATGTTGCATTCAGAAGAGAATTAAGTAAAATAAGGCAACAGTTAAATTCCCAAAAAAATGCAGTTAAGGCCTTGATCCTTCCCCCCGGTTAGACCTCACTTCATCCGATGAAGTGCTGTTGGTATGATGCTTTTAATCGTGAAAGAGTTCATAATTTTCCCCAAAGTACTTCATTTCTTTACTCGGACATAAAATCCTCGGCATCTATCTCCTGATGGGAGGAAATTATTTTGGAAAATGAGAACGAAGCCACTTGGCAGCAACGTGAGAAATCATGTCTCTAAAAGGGATCAAAGCTAATGCGAGGTAAGGCTTTGGACTCAGATCTGAAACCCGCAGGATGGGCTCTCAGATGGAGGAGGAAGACCCGGATTGAGCCGCCGGCCCCTCCTGGGACGTGAGAGACTCTGGACAGGTTGGAATCCTTAGGAGACTTCAGGTATGCCAAAAGTAAGGGACAAGGTAAGATCAAAACAAGCTCACTCACTACCCTTGCAGGTCCATTCAAGTCTCAATAAAAACTAAAAACTTCAAAGAAAAAATTGGTAGATTTGACCAAATACAATTGTTTGAATTTCTATACGTTAATACACACACACATACACCCAACACATGTTCTAGGCATAGGATTATTGATTGCTTTTAGTTGTCTATCAACTTAATAAGAAAAACTCTAACATGCCAGGTGAAAAATACTACCAGCAATTCAAACAGTAAATACAAATGACTAATAAACATGAAAAAAAAAATGTTAACCTTTCTGCTAACTAAAAAGCGCAAAATAAAACAATGCCATTTTTTTCTATTGAATCAGTGATGTTTATAAATGACTCTATTACATGTCAGATGACTCACTTCTGTCACTTTTGATTCCCTTACTAATTTTTCTTACTTTTCTCTGTGGTGCTTTATTTATTATATATTTCCTTTCTCATGGCTTCCCCCACTAGAGAGCAGGGGCTTTGCAGAGTTTGTCCACTGCCGTGCGCGGGAACAGGGCCTGCCGCGGTGGCCATGCCGAAACTATCTGCTGGATGGATGGCTGACTGAACGGACCTATATACAGCGTATTCATCAAGAAACGGAAAAAACGCTCAAATGTTGACAGTGGTCATCACTGAAGGATGAAATGAGCTCCAAGGTATGTTAAGGGACAAAAGCAAGGGGCAGGACATGATATAGAGTGCATTTTCTTTTTGGGTTTTTTTTTTTTTTTTACTTTTCTATAGTTTCAAGTTTTCTACCATGAGTATAATTTTTTTTAAAGATTTTATTTATTTATTTGACAGAGAGAGAGAGCACAAGTGGGGGGAGCAGCAGAGGGAGAGGGAGAAGCAGGCTCCCGACCAAGTGGGGAGCTCGATGCCGGGCTTGATCCCAAGACGCTTAATGACTGAGCCACCCAGGTGCCCCTTGAGTATATTATTTTTTTTTTTTAA